GGACCACCACTTGAGGCCCTCACCTCCGCCGGACCACCGCCTGACGTTGTTGCTTCGCCGGACCACCACTTGAGGCCCTCACCTCTGCTAGACCACTACCTGACGCCGTTGCTCCGCCGAACCACCACTGAATGGCCTCACTAAGGCCGGACCACAATCTGAAGTCGTTGCTCCGTCGGACCACCGTCTGACGTCGTTGCTCCGCCGGACCACCACTTAAGTCCCTCACCTCCGCCGGACCACCGCTTGACGTCGTTGCTCCGCCGGACCACCACTGAAAGCCCTCACCTCCACCGGACCACCGCCTCACGACGTTGCTCCGCCGGACCACCACCTGAGGCTCGTACTTCCACCGGACCACCACCTGAGGCCCAGACTCCGTCAGACCACCACCTGAGGCCCGGACTTTCACCAGATCACCACCTAAGGCTCGGACTTCCACCGAACCGTCACTTTAGGCCTTGTGCTCCACCAGGCCACCACCTGAGGCCCAGACTTCTGCCGGACCACCACCTAAGGCCCGGACTTCTACCAGACCACCACTTGAGGCCCTGTGCTCCACCAGAACATCACATGAGGCCCAGACTTTCGCTGGACCAGTACTTGAAGCCTTGAGCTCCACCAGGCCACCACTTGATGCATAGAGTTCTCCTAGAATACTACCGACCTCCATCACCAGACAACAGTGTTTCTGACCCTGGTCTCCTGCCGACTACGGCCCTTCTGACCTCCGTCACCTACTATAGTCCATCCGACCTCCATCATCAAACAACGGTCTTTCCGACATCTATCTTATCGACTATGGTCCTGCTGGCCAAATAAATATGTATTTGTTGATTATTGTAACTCTCACCATGTAATGCGCTCTATGTGATGTACATTTGTACCATCAAGCCAAGGCCTTCTCCCTAAGAAGGGCCTCATTTGTAATCGACTGCAAATACTAGTGGATTCATTCAAACTGGGCCAGGTCCCGTAGTTTTTTTCCCTTTTTAGGGGTTTTCCACGTAAAAACTCTGGCGTCTCTTATGAATGCTACACCCTCTCTCTTATCTGCTTGTGTGCTGGATCTTCGTATAATGCTAAGACGTTAAACTATATAATTCTCTACCGCCGTGAATACTCCAAGACACAACAAAACCTATATAATAATCATAGTTTTATATCTTCCCCTTTCTAAGATTTGGCACCCTGGCTTACAGTTTTATGTCAATATTTTTTTGATTGTTTTCAAGAATTTTGTACTAAAAAGTTGATTTAGAAAATGATAAGAAAGCTAAAAAAAAATATAATTAAAATATCAATTGATTCTTTACTTAAACTTATATCGATATAAATTCAACAAATTTTAATTTGCCCTTTTAAAATATTCTCACCAACCTTTTTTTGTATCCGCAAAAAGGTCAATGCGACATAGAACTAATTCATATTATTTTCTTAACAAAAAAAAAAAAAAAGAATTTACAGCGCCGAGTCGTGGGATTTGTTAACTGAGAAGCCGACAAATATTCGATCGAGTATACTTAACGCTAAACTCTTCCAACCTAATTTACTATTAAACTTTCAAACTTCCAAAAACCAAAAAAGAATTTACCGTTTCTAGAAAAATATTTATGATTAACAGTCAAAATGCATTTTTATATGAAAACAAATATATATTATTATTATTTCTCTTTTGGAATATATGCCTTTTCTTTATTAAAATGATGGATAAGTTTTATTGCGGGCTAGAATATGCACGGCGATAGAGTTTTAATTATACGTCTTAGTGTTGTACGGATATCCAGCTCACACACAAAGAGAACACAAGATTTTTTACGTTGAAAACCCTGGGAAATAGAAAAACCACGGGGTCTGGCCTAGTTAAAACTGATTTCACTAAAACTTAAGTAGGTTAAAGTGGGTTGACACGCCTTCGAGGATGATCAGATTACAAATATCAACCGTGTGGTTGAAATCTAGTGACCAAAGAGGATGAAGGCCCAGTGCCACTTGGTAGACAGGCATAAGTCCGGTGCTACTTGAATGTTCAGACGTTAGTTGGTAGCATGTCGGTTGGTTGACAGAACTTAAACGTTAGGTCGTGGTCTAGTGGAAGTTTGGCATCAGATGATAGTCCAGTGGAACTCCGAGCATTTAGTGATGATCCGGTAGAACTTCGAGCATCAAGTGGAGGTCCGGCGGAGCTCAGGGCCTTAAGTAGTGGTCCGGCGGAATTCAGGGCCTTAGGTGGTGGTCCAACGGAACTCAGGTCCTCATGTGGTGGTCCGGTCGAACTCAGGGCCTCATGTGATGGTCCGGCGGAACTCAGGGCCTCAGGTGGTGGTCTGGCGGAGCTCAAGGCCTCATGTGGTGGTATGGCGAGACTCAGGACCTCATGTGGTGGTCCGGCGGAACACAGGGTCTCAGGTGGTGGTCTAGCAAGACTCAGGCGATGGACGAGGAGGAGCAAGGAGGCAAGATCAATCTCTGATCTCTCTTTTGATTCCTTTGGCTTGGGTCCCCTTTTCAAGAAAAAAAGGGACTCTACCCGTAAATAGTTGGAAGATCAAGGGAAAATGGGGAGTAGGATGGACGGTCGATGTTGAATCCCTTGATCATGGACCATTTGATGGACATTTGAATGTCTTAGTTATGTCGGAATTAGGTGATATTGGGCTCGTTGGATTCGCTTCGTCAAGCCGCTCGATTCGACTATAAGCACGTTATGTTTGGAAATTGTTTGGTAATCCAAATTGTGTTCGAACCTTCCAACAACGCTTCTAACCCTTGATTTGGACCTATTTGGGCTCGGATTGGATTGGATTTGATTTCGTTGGGTTTGTATTCTAGAGATGTTCAGTTTGACTATATTGCTGAAATCAGAGTTCAGACTGTCCCAATTTTAATTTCGGAAGTTTCCAACTTCAATTTTGCATAGAGATTCGTGCCCGATCAAGATAATATTTTGACGACGTTTCAAGTTTATTAAAAAAATATCAGTGTTTTACCACTATTTTTCATTACTTTTAAAAAAAATTATTTACCAAAAAATTGTATTTGAAAATAAAAAGAAAAATGTCTCAAACAAAATCTTAATTTTAAAGATAACATTGATATTAATATTCTTTTGAATAAATAAGCGTTAAAATAGGAGTGTCAAAATCTAACATGACCTGAAATCTTATCCGAACCCAACCAGGAAAATTAAAGGTTCGTGTCAACCCGTTCGCTTTATGGGTCTAGTTAGGGTTCAAGTTTTCGACCCATTTGCTTTATGATTCAGGTTGATCCAGAAATCCGAAATAAACCTGTTTTGACCCTGTAACTTGACCGTGTGCTGCTTCTGCGTATGGTCCCAACTGTTGCGTCAAGCTAGCGCTTTGTCGCGAAGTCACCTCGCCTGTTTGCACGCATCAAATTTCGCCTGTCAAGTCGGTTCAACTCGTAACCTGCGCGAGTTAGATTCGGTTTGAAAACCTGGTCCTATTTGCAAAATCGTGTAGGTATTAGGTTGACCCATTTAGAAATGGGTCAATTTGAATCCGACCTACCGACCAGTCAGGGGCGGAGCCAGAAAATTGTTTGAATGGGGGCACAAATTAGTACTAGCCATTAAATTACTTTCAAAATACTATTTTTCTTTAGTGTAATATCAAATTTTGAGAAACATTTTTAATAAAAATTATAAAAAAAATACATTCAAAATTATATTTGTTCCTAAAAAAAACATAGATATATCACTTTGTAGATTGTTATTCATTAAGAAATGAATATTTCTCCCATAAGACTGATAATGAATTAAGTTCAAATAAATTAATTTTATACTTAAAATTATTTAATTTAAATTAATTATATTAAGTCTTAATTTTGAACTATATTTAGATTAATCAAGTTTAAATTAGTATAAAATAATATTCTACTTAATTCTAAATTAAGTTTTTATTAAATTAATTTGACATGTTGATTCACATTTAGTTAAAGAAAATCAGAAATAATACAAAATTATAAATTTAATATTATTAAGTTAATTAATTAACTTACTAAGATTTATTAAAATTATTTATTAATTAATTAACTTATTACAACATACTTTTATCTAATCTTTTTTGAAATATAATATTGTATTATTTAAAAAAAAATAAGAGGCCTAATTCTGCCACATTGGCTGTTGTCATAGGCACAAAGAGGGAAGAGAATTTTCCAAAAAAACAAAAGATTTGAGATAGATATATAAAGTAAAAAAGAGAGTGGGAGAGAGAGAGAGATAAATAAGAGAGAGCTTCTAATGTCATCTGGAAAAAAAAAATGAAGGCAGAAGCACGGCGAGACTGAAAAAATTAGATCTAAACTTATATATGTTAATGTTTGTATTAATATAACTTAAGATGACCTGATTAACAATTATTGGGAAGTGGGCCAGTGCAGGGGCGGATCCAGCTTTTTTTTTCAGGGTGGGCAAAAAATTTTTTTTTTTGTGGGGGATGGGCAAAGATGCTTAGGATTGATTAAATGAGGGCAAAAAAATTTTTTAAGAGGGGCAAAATACCCAAAATACTCAAAATATTTCAAAATATCTCACTAAAATTAAAAAAAAAAATTTTGAGGGGGGCATTTGCCCCCCCTCAACTACATGGGGATCCGCCCATGGGCCAGTGGGGGCCCATGCCCCCAAGGCCTCACTGTAGATCCGCCATTGCGATCAGTTTTGACACCCTACATTCAAATAGGGTTTGAGCCATGTTGAGAGTGTGTAATTGCCGTTAATTTAAAAAATGTAAGGATTATAAAATAAAACACTTTCATCCCAGCTTACGAATTCTCTTTTTTATATTAATCAATTTTATGAAGATTAATAAAAATTCGTATTCAATTTGTTGTTAATGAAATCGCTATGAAATAAAAGCAATGAAAAAGTATTCATTTAAATATAAGAGACTAAGATTTTGTTGGAATTGGAACAGAGCATTTTTTCTTAAGAAATAAATTTTTTAAAAAATATAGTAAAAAAACTAGTGGGCAAATAAAAAAGAATAAGCATTCTGCAATATCACTAGTACAAAATTCAGGCTTCAGGCGTTCTGTAATATCTGCGATGCCTCAATTCCTCGAATACTCTCCATAAGTAGTGAGTATCTTCCTTGTATGCTATCCGCCTTCAAGAAACTGACCAAATGCCGCATCAACTCTGCCGCCTTCTCATCCGGCCTTTGAAAGACATGGAAGACATGATCCTTCCCCTTGGTCTCAAAGAAAACAGCTTCATTCTTCCCCCACCCGCTTGCCCTCAGCCTCTCGTAATAAGACCTCCCTCTCTCCCTCAATAAATCCCTCTCTGCTACGCTAACCAACACCCGCCGGCTTCCCAAAGCCGCAAGACTAGGCGTACCCTCCGCCAGCGGGTTCACTCTTGGGTCATCAAGCCCGACGGTATCCGGGCACACAAATGGCCACAGAGCATCAAAATCCTCTGTTTTGAACATAGATGACCCGGCCTTACTATTCCTCTCCTTCCCCCAAAAGAAAGGGTGCATTAAAGCCAACCCCTCCACTTCCATCCCGTTCTCCGCAAGCCTAATCCCCATGTTATGCACTATGTTTGCTCCGGCGCTGTCGCCGACTAGAAAGATCTTGCTGAAGTCACCGAATTCAGCGAATCGACGGTCGGGGCCAAAGTTATGGTCGTAGGCGTGTTCGGTGACCCAGAGGAGGGCCTCCCATGAGTCTTCATAGGCAGTGGGGAGAGGGTGCTCGGGAGCGAGGCGGTAATCGACCGAAACAGCGATGACGTCGCCCTCAGCGACGAGAGAGTTGAGATAAGAATGGTAGTGAGAGGAGGAGGCGGAGAATGTGCAGAAGCCGCCGCCGTGATAATAGACGATGACGGGAAGTTTCTTTGGTGCAGTGCGGGAGATGATGGCGGTCGGGGGGAGGTAGAGGCGGGCACTAAGGCGAGCAGAGGGATTGATGGTGATGTCTTGGGAGGAGACGCCGGTGCGGGGATCAACGGAGGCAGGGACGATTTTGCTTTGGTACAGTCGGTCGATGCGGCCGCTCTGGTATGTGCGGATGAAGGGAAGGATCTCCATGTTTAACTTATCGGAGGTAACTGTGGCAACACGCTCCATTAGTTTAGTTGGGGAGAGAGGGTGAGGAGGAGGAGGAGGAGGAGGAGAATCTAAAGTGGATTAGAGGAAGCAGTGTTGATATATATTTTGGGGTGAGTGATATGGTAATGGCTCTGCTCCTATTTATATAAAGGAAAGGAGCGTGAGGAATAGCTTTTACATATTAGGTTGCGATCACTAATTAATATTAAAGATTATTAAAGCAGCTGTTAGAGTTGGATTCTCTTTCTCTCCCTATTAGTCATAATTTTAAGGATATTTACATAAATACCATTCTATATCATTTTATTTACATGTCTAATATTTAAAATTTTAATATTATATTTATATTTTTTATATATTACTTTCATATTAAATATGGGTGACATATTTGATATCAAAGTAATTATGGGTGATAGGAATGAAATATTAAAGTTTTGAGGGTTAGATATATAAATAGGTCGGTATATCATGGTATGTATGGAAATCCCCCCTAATTTTAAATAAAAATTTATCACTGTGTCAATTTTCAGCCAATAATTTATTATTTCTAAATAATTTTTGGCATTTATTTCTTCTTAATTATTTACATTTCGTCTCCAATTTTTTTTTTTTTATATTTAGGCCAAATAAGGCAAATTCACACACACATGCGCAAGACTCGAACTCAACCTCTTAGTTGGTAGCCAAAACTTTCGACCCACAAATTAAAGTGTGATGTGTATTATGATACTTCCTATGAGGATTTCTTTTTTACATTAAATGAGTTTAAACATACTTTTCATGAAATCAAGTAATTGAATTAGGGTCCGTTCAATCTCAAATATCATAGCCAGATAAATATGCTTAGGCTTCGTTTGTTTTTTCTGTGCTTTTGTAAAAGGCAGTTTTTAAAGATATTAGTCTAGGCAATGGAGTTTTCTAACGGAGAAGCATATATAAAAAGTTTTCTCAAAACTGCATAAAAATGAAAAATGGGGTTATTGGGAACGTGATTTGACGAACCAAATAAAAAAAAAATCCTCCATTTCCAAACAAAAAAGGCAAAAAATCGCTCAAAAAAACAAAGCCATGGTTCCTCCACTCCTAATATGAGGATATTTTGATATAACTATTTTTACATAAAATAATTTTATTAATTATAACATTAGATTTTACAAATTTTAGAGCTCCACCCACCATTATTGGACCTTGACTATAGACTAAAATTAAAGTCCCCCATCACCATTTCCAGACATCATATGTAGATCATTGTTGGCTCCTTAATAAGGTGTCAAAAATTGACACGACTTGAAACCCGACCCCAATCAAACTTGAAAAAATTCGGCTTTGAGTCAACCCGTTTTTGAAACGGTTCGGTCCGGATTCGGATTTCTGACCCGTTTGAAAAATGAGTCGGGTTCGAGTTGACTCGACAACCCGTGGGTCAACCAGTTTAACCCGGATCCCACATTTTTCAGGCATCCACCTCACTCGACTCCACTGTCCATCATCCGCCGACTCCGCCTCACTCGACTTTGTCGTCTGCTGACTCCGCCTTCTGCCGTTCGTCGACTCCGCCGTCTGCGACTCAACAACTATTCTTGCAGGTTTCCCGTCAGGTCGGGTCAACCCGGCAACCTGTGCGGGTAGGATTATGGTTAGAAATCCTGACCCATTTAGCTAAGCGGGTCAGGTTCAGGTCAACCCACTTATGCCCGGGTCAAGTCGGTTCAACCCGAACCCGAACCGCTGACCCAAATTGACACTCCTACTCCTCAAGTCAGGACTACCCGACGTTAGTGGTCAACCAATATAGATGCCCTCCTTGACTATAACCAAACACCATCCCCTAACTAGCATTGATAATTGTTGTTGGCGCCACCATGTATTAGGTTTAAACCAACATACATAATTATCATCACCATCACGCGACACTAGCTATCAATTAACATCGATGCATGTCATCACCGCCACTTGATTTTGATCATCGATCAATGTAGATCAATTTCGTTAGTACCTTCAAACATTATTTATTCACTAACATCAAAGCCTACACTTACCACCACCATACATATTCCTCGAACAACATCCAATTCTAGCTACATCAATGACACCTTAAATCAATCCTTAACCAATATCAATGTCCGTTGTTATCATAACTAGTGATTATCAATCAGCAATTAGTGATGCAAGCTATCTTAATATTTAGATAATGCCCCTTGAGCAAATAATAAATTTAGTTGTTTTGATTGTTTGCAATTTAGAATGAATATATGCACCTCACATCAATTTGTTGGTTGAGAGTTTCGGATTAAAAAAAATGTCCTAAATTTTTCTTATTTATTGATGTATGTATGAATTTATCTTAATTGACCTAAATGCCCTAAAAAAACTTAGAATGATAATGACATCCTTTATGTTTGTTCCTAATAGAAAATTTAAAAATTATATAATAATAATAATTTTATCATCCTCAATAGGATTTGGCTTCATCATTAATTAAATCTTAAAAGAGTTTTTTTTGAAGGGCCATTTCTTTTGAAAAAAAAATGCAAAGTAAAATGAATGTAATATACTAATATATTTAAATATTTTGAAGTTGTTTGAAAAAAATATAAAATAAATGCATTTAATTATTTTTTTTTTGTGATTTAAAGTAATAGATGGTAGAGGTGTAATACTTGACATGACTCGAACCCGATCCAAAAATTTTTGTTCGGATTTAAGATTTTGACCCGTTTGTAAAGTCAGGTCGGATTCGGGTTGACCTTAAAACCAAAAATCAACTTGGTTTAACTCATTTTTAATTAATTTAGGTGGGTTTTAAAAGATTGTTGTAAAATGAATAAATTGTATTTCAAAAAAAAAAATCATGTTGTCCAAATTGAATTAAGCTTGTTTTATTTTAAATTGATTGAAGTAAATCTTATCTTAATTTGATTTAGGTTTAAATAAATTGAATTAAATAATTAGTAAAACATACTGGATGCGGGTCGAGTTCGGGTCGGGTCGAACAGTGTCAAGTCAATTTCGGATTGGACCCGAACCCAACCTATGACCCAATTTTGACAGCCCTAGCAGGCGGCGAGCAACAAAGGTGGTGTGTGAGGGCAGCTGTGACAATGAAAAATAATTGAACGTATTTAGAACTTAGACAAAACTAACCATTTCAAAATACATCAAAATTAAACAAAGATGAGATTTTCAAATTATTCAAAATTTTACTTCATATTTTTTTATTTCAAACAAAGTATTGATGTTTTCAGAATTTATGCATTTAAAATATTCAAATCAGACAGCCTTTAAAAGAAATGAAAATTGGTACCTTTCACAAAGAAAATTATGATGATGAAAAAATCAATTATTGAGAGCATAAAAGAGACTTTGCCAAAAGAAGATCACATAAAAATATATTTAAATTCAATAATAACATAACAATGAGATGGACTTTTTTTTTTTTTTTTGAGCAGATAATTTTGGCCTATACACAAAGAAGCAATAATTTTGGCCTATATTGAAAATCTGTTTTAGGAAGTAGTAAAAAAAATTGTCCCAAATGAAATCTAAGATTTTATTTGGAACGGTTTTCTTACTGTTTCTTTAAAAAAAAAAATAGTATAAAAATATTAATTTTTATCTTGAAAATCTGCTTTAAGAAAAACAATCTCAACCGAAGCCTAAGAATTTCATTGGAAAATTCACAGAAGCCAATTTATGTTCGAACTCTTGCATAATAAGGCAAATCTTAATTAGCTGTTAACCTAAAAAATATATATAAAGATAATGAAATAAAACACTTTCATCCCAACTCACGCATTCTGTTGTGCTCATTAAACAAATTTATAAAGATGAAAATAAAGCAGAACGGCCACAAGAAGGTTCCCAAAACTTCTCTGTCAGGAAGACTGGCTTTTGGAAGGGTTTCTAATAATTATTTTTAGTTGTTATAATCAAAATTTTATTATAATAAATTTAAAATTTATTTTACGATTATACTAAAAAAATGAAACACCAGAATTTTTACTTGAAAATGCAGGGAAAGGGAAAAACTACGGGGTAACGCGTAGTTGAAATGATTTCACTATTATTTGAGTAAATTACAAGTGTCTGGTTCGTTCTTGAAATTGAGGACGATCATATTACAATATTCAACAGTCGGATTGATATATGAAGGTCAGACGAAAGTATAGAGTCAGTCGGTCACTGGGCAGAAATCAGACTTAAGTTGGTGGTCAGGCGGAAGTCCGGCGTCCATCAGTGGCCGTGCGAAAATCCGGCATTGGTCAAAGAGGGGTCTGGTGGCAAGAAAATTCACTTCCTTCTCTTCCTTACTTGGGTTCGTTGGTGGTCGAGCGCAAGTCCGATGGTAGTCGAGGAGGAGGCTGGTGGCAATATAAATCCCTTCTATCTCTTGCTTACTTTGGTCAATCGGTGGTCGGGTGGAAGTCCGGACTTCCTGCGGCGGTTGAGGAGTCTAGTGGCAAGAGAACTCTCTTCCTTCTCTTCCTTACTTGGGTCCGTCGGTGACCGGCTGGAAGTCGTGCGATGGTTGAGGAGGAGTATAGTTGCAAGAGAACTCTAATTTCTCTTCTTCATTCTCTTCATTTCTTGGGTCCCCCATTCTCTCCTTCTCTCCTCCTCCTCCCTCAATAAAGAATGAATAATCTATTTATAGTTTTCCGATAGTAACATAGCTAGTAAATAAAGAAGTGATTAAAGGTAAGTTGGGAGTGGTTTGAATGTACGGCCGATGATGATCCCCTTGGTCGTGATCCATTTACTGGGCATTTGATTGTCTCATGATATCAGAATTTGATGATCTTGGGATTGTTGAATATTCTCATTGAGCCGCTCGATTCGACTATAAGCATGTCAATTTGAAAATCATTTTGATCATCTAATTTATGGTTTGAACTTTCCAATGCTCTTAAAGTCTTTGATTTGGACTCAATTGGGCTCGGATTGAGTCGAATTTGGTTTCATTGGGTTTGTCTTTTCAAGACGTTCAGTTCGAGTATAAGTTTGCTAAAATATAAGTTCATATGATTCCAAATTTAATTTTTGAAGTTTCCAACTTAATTTTGCCTTGATATTTGTGTCTGATGAAGATAAT